ATATGTTAATGATGTCCCTTGTTTTTTCTTCTGCATGTGTGTATGTGCATGTGTGTTTGTTTCTCTCTGTGTGTATTTTTTTTCTCCCTGTACTTCCTCCCCTCCTCCCAGTCTCTTTGTATCTCCAAACAAAAAGAGATGCAGAACATTTGGATTCATACTTCCTTTTTTCGGAAAGACAGAGATACTCCCGTCCTATTTTCACTTCCTCTCGATTAAAGGGGAGGTTAGACGAGTGCCACAGTTGTTCCATTGCCGTGCCCCTGATTTCCACGAGAAGCCCCTTTAACAGCAGAGAAGGCAAGGCCCTCTCTCTTCCCCAAGCAGCTTAATGCCTTATAAATCAATGATGACACAGATGGACTAGCGATAATCTATTTAGAATGCCTCACAGCAAATATTGTTGTGCAGATGATTAGACTGCCAGTTATTTTAACTCCGAACCCTAAACCCGAGCTTCCGCTTCTCGTGATGCTCCTCACATTTATACTGATATGTTTTGATATTCCAGAGACATTGAGCTGGAAATGAATGTTAAAAATGGCAACAATGTGACACACACACATCCAGCACCAGACACTATGGGCAGTTATTTGCACTACTTGAATATATTTGTACTGTTGTCATATATGCATTTGTTGTCATATTTATTTGTCCGCTTTAGTCTAACAACCGTGTCATGTCAAATGTGTGTGAAGCTACTTTTATATATTTATTGTTGTGCCTTTTTTTTAATTTGATATATATACAATATGTATATATTTTTATATATTTTATTCTTTGGCATTTAGGTCTCTGTGTTTGTACCACACACACAGAGAAACTGATAATAAAGTTGACTTAATAAAATAGTGAAGTTGTCGCAGGGGAGTGTGTGCAGTGTGTGTATATGAGAGTGTTTGTGTGTGTGCGTCTGTGTGTGTGTGTGTGTCGGGTGGCATGGGCAGCTTGAGGAACAAAAGACTTGAAGAGGTGCTGGTGTCTGTGCCAAGGCCATAATGATAAGGCATGTTTCTTTAAAGAAGGAGGGGGGGAGACAGACCTTTAACAGCATTGTATACTCGGGGCATTTGTGTGTGTGTGTGTGTGTGTGTGTGTGTGTGTGTGTGTGTGTGTGTGTGTGTGTGTGTGTGTGTGTGTGTGTGACACGAGGGGGGTTAATGGCAATCCAGGGTGTCTGCCCCTTTTCATGGTCGATGGGTCTCAATTTAGCGTGCAAGGAGGAGGAGAAAAAGAAGAGGAGGAGGAGGAGGAGGAGGAGGAGGAGGAGGAGGAGGAGGAGGAGGAGGAGGAGGAGGGCAGAAATGAAGTGGAGGTTGTCAGACGTGGCAGCTGCTCCGAGGCCCTGATAAATATAAGCCCTTATTGATCGGTTGAAAATGAAAGATCCCCGAGTGGCGTGCAGTATTTAGCTTCTTGTCTGCCTCGTGTCAGCGGTGGCCTTGCCCTGGAGGGATAGACTTTCAGCTGTGCCTCCGGGCACCGCAGCGCTCGGGCTTTGATTTCATCTTTAACCTTTTTCCGCTGCGTTCCCTTGACCTCTGCAGCGGCGCACGCTGAATCTTTTAGAATTTCATCCATTCTTCCTCGCCACCCATCAGCCCGTCCATCTTCCCTTTTCGCCTTCTCAGGTGTATATTTCATCATCGCCTCCTCTTCCTTGTATCTTTTTATTTTCATTAAGCGATATAGGAATAACGGGACAGACACACAGTGTCACAAATGCATACAAACGAGTATTTATAAGTAAAGACAAGAACTACTGACAAAATACCAACCAGAACAAACTGAGTCATACAACATGTTTTCAGACGTGTGATAATAATATTAATAATAAATACAAAATAATGTGATATGAGTTACAATAGAATAGTCATTCATCATAAATAAACATGTCAAATAAATTCCTGTAAATAATAGTAATAATAATAATAGTAATAATAATAATAATAATAATAGCAATACAAATAACAACAATACATACAAGTGAATGGTTGTTAGGTGTGTGTACTGGTTTGGGGCATTGACTTTATGTAGAAGGTCGGGAGGGGGGGGGGATCAGAGGTGGGAAAGGTACTCAGATCTTTCACTGTAGAGTAACAGAGAGTATGAATACTCTTAAGTGTTCTCAAAGCTGGTGAAGGTGCAGCTAGTCTGAATTACTTTGTATACTGCAGGGTAGCTGGTGGATTTACTCCAGGTGGAACTAAAGTCTGATTCAACACTTGATTAGATTTCACATCATTCATCCACATCAGTGAAGTAACTAAAGGGATTAATACATGTAGTGGAGGAAAAGTACATGATTGACTTCTGAATTGTAGTGGGGTAGAAGTACAAAGTAGCACAACAAATTGAAATACCCATGTAAAGTACAAGTACCTCAAAATGATACTTAAGTACAGTACTTGAGTAAATGTACTTAGAAACTTTACACCACTGAGGTTATTAACGGGCAGGCTCTTTTTCTGATCGTCCCGCTCCTCTGTTTCTCCTATAGGTGGCCATTCCAGTGAGCAGAGGCAGTGAGGAGCGAGAGGCCACTTGATCCGAACAGACAGGTTCCATCCCAGCATGCAGTTGGTGTGTTAAGGTAAGCTCCCGCACAATGCATACCTTCACCCGTAAAGAAAAAAAAAATGCCCTTAACATTTTTCACATTCTTCGAAACCCTGTATTGCTTCTCGCACTGCAACGATAGAACACACACATGAATAAATGCACACATACGCTCACACACTCCAACTGTTCGCTTACCATTTAGTCTTATCCCCAAAGGCACTCTGTCTTAAACCAAAACACACACACACACACACACACACAGTCACACAGCTACAGTACACTGCTGCTATGTGTGCAGACAGAACTTGTAACAATCTGGATTGTGATAATCTATGATAATCATCCACCACATGCCACCTAAAAAACGCACATGGGTGGCATTCAACACCCACACTGGCACATTGCTTCAGTGCGTCTCGCCTCCCTCTGCCGCCCCCCCCAATGTCACTACCTCCAGCGTCAATGTCACCACTTCCTCGGCTCCTTATTTCTCTTTTATGTATGAGGAGGCACACCGGGGAAAAAGGAAGGAATCTCGAAGAATTTATGTTTGGCATTAGTGTAATTGAATTCCACTCGTATATCACAGTAAGAAAGTTGCGAGGTGGTCGGCGATATAAATACAAGGTAGGGATCCGTGAAAACACGGATCCGTCCCTCCCCTTTTCCCTTGTCTTCCGAACATTGTCTCCCATCTCTCTTTTTGTTTTATCCTCTCCCTCTCTCCCCTCCTTTAGCTAGATGGATGATAAATTCCCAGCCAGAGAGCCAGCAACAGCTGTTGGCAGACAGGCCTGATATGAGAATAGCAGCATAGGATGAGCAGGCATTAAAAATTAATATGCTATTTAGCCTAGGTGTATTTTAGGTATTTGACATTTTCATGTCCGGGACAGACTCAATTTATTCATAGTACAGAAAAAAAAATAAAGAAATAAGAAGAGAGGAATGGGTGTAGGGAAGGGGGGGAGGAGGGGCGGGGGAGATATAATGCAGGGAACACTAACGGAAGGCCATTGTGGCTTTATGGTCACCCTGTTTCACCTTGCATACCGCCATTGTAATGGTAGGGGTGGGGGGTGTTTGAGTACACCATATATTTATACCTTATAATAGAATATGAAAAGGCTGTGTGAAGTCGAAAGGGTTTATAAAAGAGGAAACTCCTTCACTTGTATCTACACATCGAAGCAGTACAACATCCAGGCTGACTTTAAATGGAAAAATCGTCAACTTTTAATGAATGTCCAATTATTGTTAATGGTAAATGTGGTCAATACAAGCAAGACATTCCTTTGTGTGTTATATTTATGAGAAAGCTGGGTTTTCCATTATTACCTTCCACAATAAAAGCCCCACCTAAATGCATGCAGCGCTTCACTGAGAACCAACTCAACAGATTACAATTACAAAAATGTTGGTATTGGAGACTTACCTTGCCAGGAAGTATTCTAAGTTCCACTGATGTCGTTTTTTGAGCTCCGCTCAGTCCTCAGTGGATACATGTGTCATCTAGATGATTTAGACGTTTTATGCAAGCTAAGTTTGTAATTTGATGACTTTACAACAGGTGGTCTTACCTGGGGAAGATCTTAACCCTTGTCCATCTAAAGCCGATACATTGGAGGGATAAAGGACAAACTGACAATGACTTTCTTTAAGAAGCATAGCTAGAAGGTGTGTGACTTAATGCCATAAAAGCTCTTGGAAAGGAGGTCAGGTATAGGTTTTTAGTTTTGTGCTCAACCAAGCATGTGACTTTGACACAGGAGACAGGATGTTTGCATGGCTTTTTTATTTCTTTTACCAACATTCAACGTTGGTTTCCTTTAACCATGACAACCTTCATTTGCTATGCCAACGAGACCCTTAACTTCAGTCGCAGCAGATCAGACACGGTTTCATTGTCAAATGGATTGAGATGATTTACCGAGTCTTGCTGAAGGTGATGTGTTAGAACACTCCTCCGAGACTTCACAACTCCAGGAAGAAGATGATGTGTGAACATTTATGTGTAAAAATTAATAAAATGTCAGCTAAGAAAAACAAGATGCACAGAACAGTTTAGTTGCATGTTGAGGAAAGAAATATTGTAGTAGAGTAGCAATATCCAGTATTCTCATTCCTCCAGATTATAAACTTAAACGCCAGCTGTCATTACAGACAGAATACTCAGCAATGCAAACCTTTCATTCTGTTCAACCGTAAACATGATTAAATGCAATTCTGCTACAAAACACACCATGCATTCAGAAAATGATACAGTGGATAGTTATGTTGTTTGTATTTCAATCTGAAATGTCCCACTCTTTTCCAATGACCCAGCATTGGGGAATTGTTAGACAGTCAAACACACAAGACCCGTGGAGGTCCACGCAATAAAAAGTACACTCCCATGCTTAGCTATGCTAGGACGGTCCTCTCTCCATCACTCCGTCTCCTCCCCCCTCAGTGATTAATGGCTGATGCTGCTCCAGTACATCTCTATATCCCTCCTCATCCCTCCCTCACTAATCGTTGTGAAATCTTAGACATGGCCTAGACTTGGCCTCCTGGAGGAAGAGGGGGGTTGGATTGGATTGGGAGGAGGGCAATTTCAACCTCCAACAGCATCCATATCACTTTTGACTTACTTCTTCCTTGATATACCATTGCTTCTTGCCTTTCATTACCTTAAAAATACATACTTTGTTCATCAAGAGGAAGATTTAGGTCAGTTGGTCTGAGAAGACACCTTTTCTCGCTCTGCACCTGGCGCCACCCATCCAACTCCTATCACTTTAGGGTGCTTCAGAAAATAATTTCTACAAATAGCAATTTGTGTCTTGTCTGTTACGATGTTTTCTTGTAAAAATGGACCACCACAATTCACTACCCATTCAAACTGAGTTATGACATCATGAGGATTGAAGAATGTACAGCTGGGCTCTTTATGGGTTTACGTGGGCCGCCTCTATATGCTGATAATAGGGTATAAAATATAAAAATAATATGGCAACATTCACCTGACATCAGGACCAAATGTTTTTATGATATTAAAAAACTAACAATCATCATACATACTCATACAAGTATGTATGTTAAATGTCAGGTTTGCCTCAGTTGATGCCAGCTTGTAGATAGTTAGTCCATCTCTTAACATTACAACAAGCTCAGATAATTATTCCTGGCAACTGATTCAGAAAAATAGACCCTCAATCCAACTTTATTCAGAGACCGTTACCAAAAGCAGACACAATTGCTCTCCATGTTAAACAAGTCCTCTTTTTTCTAGTAGTTGGATTGTCACAGTGCCGCAAAAAGCAAGGACTTTCGGTGGTTGTAAAGCCGTTTGACTCCAAAAGCGAAGGGCTTATTTTGGCTTGGCCACAATCTTTTCTTAACACTAACTAAGCACTTCGGCCAAACCATATCCAAAAGAAATGTTGCCAACAAGGTGGAAAAAGCACTCAAAAGGAATGATAGTATGGAACCATGCATCGACTTCTTGTCAAAGTCTATACTCTGCATACAGTCAAATACAAATATTTAACTAAGATCCAATAGCTTTTTTCCAGTTATTTCAATTGCAATCCCTGTCTTTGTCCAAGTATGGTTTCTGGTATTGGGAATTTGATCTTTCATGTCTATCTCTGACTCCTGGTCAATGACGTCAGTGGACATTTGGAAGAACTCAATGACAACTCCATAACTCATGAGCAAACCTCGATTTGCTGATGAAGACCCTAAGAGGTGTCTTTAAGTGGAATTTAGACATGGCTTGGAGCTGGATTTAATTATAACCACAGTGCATGCACCTGTGCTAACTCACCAAACAGCATGCAGCATTATCACAACATTCTCACTTCTAATTGTCTTTATTTATACCTCCGGTTTAGCAATTACTCATTTTCCACCTCTTACCTTGCACCCTTCCTTTCTCGCCTCTTCACCTCTTTGTCTGCTAATTATTTGATTTCCTTTCCTCGTTTTTCTACTTTTAACCCTCCCCTCTTGTCCCTTTCTCTCCATCTCCATTGCTTCCACACTTGGCAGTAACTTCACGTCGCAGAAGTGCTAGCAGTACTGTATATACACTGACTGTTATTACCTTGGGGAACGTTTAGCAGCTCTGTGTTTAACACCATATAACCTCCGCTACACCGGCAGCGGCAAGGAAGGAAAGAAAAAACCTAGGGAGGTGGAAACCAGAGACGGCTTGTGTTAGGTGAGTGTTTGACTGATCACCAAGGATAAAGACGACAAGAGAGAAACAGGGAGCGTATGACAAGCCTGCTTTATTTCAACCTATTGGATGATCAGTGATTCTTAAGCAGAGGGAACATTTCTTGCGATATCTCTCACTACAAAGTAAATAGAAATCAAAGCCCTTCAAGGCTCCGAGACAAAAACACTATATGAAAGAAACTATCTTAACAACCTCCTTCATTTCTTCCCTCTGTACTTCCCATTGATTTCACGTAACTGGTGTTAAGTGAAACTATTTGAGAGGCAATGGATCCACTTGACTTTGTGTCTCGGAGGTAGGCCTTGATTGGCTCCCATTACGGTCAAATAAAGCTTGTGGTGGATTCATCTTTGGTAGTGGTGTTTTAAAACTCCTAATTATGTGATCAGACTTTGTTTGATAACCATTCAACAAATTAAATTGGCTAAATCCAGTTTTCCGTTTGAGTTCCTCACACAGTTTGGTGTCACAGTGGCCTATGTGCCTTTGAACCTGCAGCGTCTTGGCGGATCACTGTCACTGCCTATCATTCAAACATCCCCTGAGTAACATATTGCACACAACCAGACCCCCCCCACCCCTTCACATCCCCCACCTTACCCAGCAACACCCACTGCGCTCCCCCTTCTCCCTGATAGGGATCTGTGGGCGTTGACGTCCGTCTCCGAGGAGTTTTAGAGGGCTATGGGAGCAGCTTGACAGATAACAGGACTACCAAAGGGAGTCAAAGACGAGTCATGTCCATGTCCATCAATGTGCTTGTCCACAAGTGAGGGAGGAGAATTAGACGTAGACCAAACATC